TCTGTGTTTTGCCCTTGGAAGTGACTTGCTGTTGAGTTTTTAGGGAGCCATTGTTGGTGAGTTGTGCTCTTGTCTTTAAGTACTAGAGCGAAGTGCCTTGATTAGGTGGCTAATACAGCTGAAAGTGTCTGTTTCTTCTACTGATCTCAGAGTAGGTCTCTTTGTAATTCACTTAGTCCAGCAGTGCATGGAAGAGCTTAGCTGAAAGCACAAGCAGTCCTCTTGATACTGTTAAAGCTGCTTTAAAAAAAAAAAAAATTATGTTCTGTGCTAGAAGAACATTTATTTTCTGCAGACTATTTTATGGGACTATGTGAGTCAAAATCCATACTATTTGCTTTCCTTTTTCTTCTTTGCCTTCTGGTCCTTTTGGAGTATAGCGTCTGAAGTAAAAAGGATTCCTTTTTACCATTTTTTGTTAGCGCCAAGCTGCTGTGACAACTGGAAAGATGTTTTTGGAATAGCTTTAACAATCTCGGGAGCGTGTGCGAAGTCATGACTACATACATGTAGACAGGCATAAGCATGATCTCTGCAATTATTCCCTGAGCGGGAGCCAGCTACAAACTTCATAGCTCTGATAGTGTGGTTCTGTATTTAAGTTTATAAGCTTTGCTGAGAGCACAGAGTGCTGCTGTGTTAAGAAACTGGTCTCACTGGCTAAGGTACAGTGCATGGTAATGCGTCTACTTTTTCTGTTGTTATAGTTGTTGCACATCCAGAGAATAACCTTTGGTTTATTTTTGTGATTTTTATTTATAGAAATTGTGTGTATGTATACAAAATTGCGTGTGTATATGTTATTTTATTTCTACCTATGTTGTTTAATTCTCTTGGAGGGAGGGAATGTAGTCCTGGTAAGTCTCTCTGTGCCCTGGCTGACCTGAATTTGCTTTCCCAGTTTTACACTCAGTGCCAAAGGTGAAGGCTTAGTGCAGTTGCATTAGTTCATCCCAATGGAAATACTTTGCCTGATGAATTTCAGAGGATGTCTTTTTACTCCTGTGTGGGCTCACCATTATTGATGGATCGTAATCAGATTCTGAATAGTGAATTTACCTGGATCATTTTTCTGGGGTCTTTTTTGCAACTGATGAGCTCTCAAATTATGGAAGAAGCGTGTAAGTTCTTAAATACAGAAACTTGGTGGTGCTGTAACTGTAGCCCGTTTGTGCTTCTCATCCAAGGAGTTACCCATGTCTTCCTTGTTACTCTTTTAAGCTTTCTCTGTACAGAAGCTGCATCAATACTTTGTGTAATCTTTTAACTTTGTGAACATATACCCCTCTTTCCTGAGATGATGTTTTAGTGGTAAACATTGTTTCTGAAACTCCAGAAGCTCCTTTAGTAGAAAAACAGGTTGCTTTGTGTCCTTGTACTGGTTTTATATTTCTCTCTTCTCATCATACTAACTTGTCCTTTGGCTTAAGCTGTCATTTTGCATGTGGTACTGTATTGCTTTGTTGCAATCAAATCAAATCAAATGAGAGCTACAGCTACTTCTAATCTGGAAATTTAATTGTTTTATTGAAGATGAAAAACAAAGTCATAGCCTACTTCTGGTAAACTCATGCCACATTTGATCCATTTTTCAGTTACTTCCAAGTTTTTCATTGTTTTTCCCCATTAATTTATTCTAAATCTTATATATTTTTAAGGTGCATGAGCTTTCTATTTGTGAATCACTACCCTTCCCTATCAAATTCTTGAATAAAGGATTTACAGTTTCTCCTTGACAAAGTCTACATAGTAAATGATGACAAAGGTGAACTAAAGGGAGCCTTTACTTGTCTTTCCACTGGCTTTGATGAAATCTTTTCCTAGTTTTTCTATGATAATTTCTATGTTTTAATTAAAATCAGAATTTGAGTCAGAATTAGTACTAATATCTGGATACAACATTGTTCTCTAAAAGTGTGTGGAAGGTGAATTCTGTTTAAAACTGTTTGCATGATCAAATCTGTTCTTAAAAGTCTAGTTACTCATTTATCTTTTCATTTTTTTTCAGAACAATGGGTCACTTGCTTGGTGCCAGAATCATAAACAGTGTTCAAAGGTATGTTCTTCCTACCCCCACTCTTTATAAAGATGTCTAGTTGATTTCTATCTATGTTGCTATGTTTCTATATAGTTGCTTTCTATCTATGTTGCTTATCTATCTACTTGCTACTGTCTATGCTGTCAATCATACTATCCCCTCAACAGCACTGAGATATGCCAACACTGAACATTTCATTCAATCTGGATATTTAATTTCTAGAATGACACATTTGTTTCTTTGACACAATTTTTGATGCAGTTCCCCATGGCTCTGATGCTCTGATACTTGCTTTTTAGCCCTGAAAGCTTAGTGGGTAAGTGAGAATCAGTCAACTGATTCTGGTGCACAAGAATCTCTTTGGGGTGCCTGCAGAGAAGCAACAGCTGCTTCCGCAGCTTAGACAAATCAAAATGGAACTGCACTCTCTCGTCACTTTCCTTCCTAAAAATAATGGAAAATGCATTCATTTCTTGCCTTAGAATTTTACTTGACAGTTGTTAAGAATGCATAGTAAGGAAAATAAAATTCTTCTGAGTTTTTTTCAGGGAGATTAGACAAAAATATAGAAATGTATTCCTACACTTTACATTATATTCGCGATGATTTAGGCATCTTAACATAAATGTTACTTTTTATTTGGTGATGGAAGAGACCATGCAGTTGTCAAAACGGGGCTCAAGTGAAATTACTCCTAGTAATTGCATGCAGCTAATCTTAGTATCTACAAGACAAGATTCGAGTGGGCTGCCTTGTGCTCCTAGGAAATCAGCATGCCTGAACGCTTCTCTGAAGTGCCTGTACATGAATGTGTGCAACACGGGAAATAAAGAGCTAGACATCTGTGTGTGATTGCAGGGCTATCATCTCATTGCAATTAGAGAGATGGCGGGGTAACCATGGATTGAAACATGCCCTTTAGGGAGGACAGGCCAGGAAGGCCAGATGGGAGACTTACCCTTTATGCAAGAGAGCAACTGGAATCTATGGAGCTCTGCCTAAGGGGGGATGAAGAATCATAAAGAGTTTATGGGTAAAGATTAAAGGGCATGCTAACATTGGTAACACTTGTGGGTGCTTGCTATGCTTGATCCAGGAAGAGGAAGGAGATCTTCAGACAGTTGGAAACAGCTTCCTGGTTTCAGACCCTGGCTTTCTTAGGATTTTAATCAGCAGGATATCTTCTGGAGGAACAGTATAACAAGGCGCAAGCAATCCAAGGAGGTTCTTACTAGCTTAGAGCGCTAATGATAGTTTCCTCATACATTTCAGCCTCATTGGCTGAAAGAGCCAATGAGAAGTGTGCTGCTCAACCTTGTGCTAATGATCAAGGAAGGGCTGGTTGGAGGTGTGAAGGTTGAGAGCAGCCTAGGTTGAGATCTGAAATTCAGGATCATGAGAAGGAGCAGGGCAAAAAGCAAGAGCATTGTGCTGGACGTCAGGAGAGAGAACTTTGGTCTCCTCAGAGATGATCTTGAAAGATTTCTATGGATAGGGCCCTAGAAGGAGGAGGAATCTAAGAAGGCTGGTTAATTTTCAAGGATTACTTCCTTCAAGCTCAAGATCAGTGCATCCGAATGAGCAGGGATTTGAGCAAAGGGAACGGGAGTCTTGCCCTGATGAACAACGAGCTCCTGGCAAAACTCTGAGAAGGGAATTTAAAAAAATGGAAACAGGGGCAGGCCACTTGGGAGCATTATAGGAATGTTGAGTTGAATCTGACGAGGGTTGTAAAGAACAGGAAGAAGGGCATTTTTAAAATACATCAATACATCAATAACTGCTAAGATCAGCCCTAAAAAAAAAAAAAAAGTGGAAAGCAGGGAGAAAGTCTGATGAAAGGAGAACTTCCTCTTGATAGAGGAGGGTTGTGTTTGGGATCACTTAGGTGAACTTGACACGCACAAGTGCTGAGGGAATTGGCAGATACTGCTGCTAGTCCAGTCTCACCCATCTTTCTGAGATCAGGAGAGGTGCCTAGGGGCTGGAAGAAAGCCAGTGTTACTCCAGTTTTGAAAAAGGGGCAAGGAGGAGGCCAGTAAGCCTCATCTCGGTGCCTGGAAAAATGATGTAACAGCTCATCCTTGATGCTATATCTAAGCATATGAAGGACAAGGTGATCAGGAGTAGTCAGCATGGATTAACCAAGGGCAAATCATGCCTTAACCTACCTGAGAGCCTTCTATGATGGATTAACTGAGTAGGTAAGGGGAGGGCAGTGGATGTTGTCTGCCTTGACTACAGCAAGGCTTTTGATGTCTCCCAGAGGCAAACTCAGGAAGTATGGATGAGATGAGTAGGCAGTGAAGTGGCTTGGAAACTCGCTGAAATTGCTGGACTCAGATGGTTGTGATCAGTGGTGCAAAGTCTATTTGGAGGCCTGTAGCTAGTGTTGTGCCCTGGGGGGTCTGTACTGGGTTCAGTCTTTTTCAACTTAAGCATTGGTCACCTGGATCAAGGGGCAGAATGCACCCTCAGCAAGTTTGTGGAGTCTACTTCTCTGCAGATATTCAAAGCTGTCTGGACGGGGTAATGGGCAATGTGCTTGAGCAGAGGGGTTGGACCAGATGATCTCCAGAGGTCCTTTCCAACCTCAACCATTCTGTGATTCTTGTTCTATTTTGCCACAAAGGAATAATCAATAGTGAATTCAAAATCTATCACTTTTGCCATATTAAAGATAGGGTAATGACCATGTGAGTGTATGAACAGAGCGGGACAATTACTATCAGCTTTGCCAAGCTCCTAAAGGTTGCAATGAAATCTCGCTATTCTTGAAGTGGGTGGGGGGAAATGCAGAGGATGGGGTTCATTATAACAGAATTTCCCTTTTGAGGAAAATATGGGGATTCTGTTCATCACTGCAGTGATGCAGGTGTAATTGTATATATTTTTTTTTTGGTTCTATTATTAAGGTTGCCATGGTTTCTAATCTGAAAGACTTCCCACTGGTCTGTTGCTGTCTGACAAGGAAGGAATGATATGAGAGAACTTGTCTAACTTCTCAGACTAGAATTACAGAGTGGTTGAGGTTGGAAGGGACCTCTAGAGATCATCTAGTCCAACTGCCCTGCTCCAGCAGGGACACCTAGAACACATGGCACAGGGTGGCATCCAGGCAGGTTTTGAAGATCTCCAGAGCAGGAGACTCCACAGCCTCTCTGGGCAGCCTGTTCCAAGGGCTCTGTCACCCTCAAAGGAAAGAAGTTCTTCCTCATATGGAGATTAGACTTCGTATGTTTCAACTTGTGCCCATTACCCCTTGTCTTGTCACTGACTACTACTGAGGCAAAGGTTGTACAAACATCTATGAACTTGGAACAACTACGAGAATCAACAAAAGATTAATCTAAAGCAGTATAAATTTAAGGGTTACCTTTAGATTGTATTATTCTTTTGAAATCACTGAGTGCTTCAAATAAAGATTATTTTAAAATTGAAAATGAAATGAAGCATCAATATACCATCATGCTATGAAAAACTTTTTTATTATTTTTATTTTTTTCATGGAATTCTGAGGCCTCTAAGAACGCTTCTGTAGGTTAAGATGACTGTTATTTATAATATTGTACAAGTTCATTTTGTTAGTGAAGCAAAATGCTAATTTTGCTAAAGCTAAATTCAAATTATTCTATCAGTGCCCTCTAATACAAGTGCAGACAGCAATTCTGTTAGTTTGATAATGAATACTTTTGAGAACCGCTAAGTTCTCGGAGATAAATATAATGAACTAAAATGGTTATAGCTCTCTCAGGAACAGTTATGCATTGCTACCTACATCCCAAATGGCTATTTATTTTTGTTATTTTAATGGGACAAGTCACAAAAGCATGACTATAAGCAGCAAGATATGCACCAGTGCTTTTATATGTATGATTTAATTTAATATGATCTCTCCAGTGGCCTATTTCAGAAGATAAAACTCAAGTGAGTTCTTGAATGTTTGCCTTGTTTGGACATCAGATTGGTAATTTCAATATGTTAAAAATACCATTATCATTAGGACAATTACAGGTTTGATTGTTAAATAAAATGCTATTTTTCTTTGCAGCAGTTATATTTACTGCTGTTAGGAGCTCTATATCTATGCTTCTACGAAGTTCAGTAGAAGACAAAGGGCTTCCCTGGGATTGTAGCAATTCTCCCATTGACTTCTTCTGCAAATATGAGTGGTCTTTTCTACTCTGTTAATTTATCTCGCTTATTTTAAGCCTCATGTGGTCTTATGCCTCTAAGACTTTTAGGAAGTGATATTGAATAGTGGAAACAAATCCTTATGTTTTAGTCCTTTAATTGGGGTAGGTATCTAGGGTATTTACACTTGTTATAGTCCCTAAAAAGGCCGCATTGACATTGAAGTCTTCCTACAGTTTTTAGTCGAGAGAAAAATATTTAGTATGGTTGATTAGGTTTAAAAACAAATCTTGAGGGTTATTATACATACAGATGACTTCTTATAAGTAATAATGGATTTTATTTATATGTTGATTAAAAACAGCAAATATTAATTGGTGAACTGTTTGGCTCTGAAATAGGGTCTTTTAGCCTCTTAATATTGATCATATTCATTAAATTTGGTCTAAAAACTTGTTGACTTTTTCTTTGGCAATGAGAGCTTTAGGATTACTGTGGCATGGTATGTTACTTTTCAAATAGAGTGCTTTCTTTTTTGTCCTGAGATTCTTTTCAGATTTGGTTTAGATAGTAAATGTTTTAAAAGCAAACAAAAACCTCAAAACAACAGCAACAAAACACATTTCTTTTGCTTTGTCTAGCAGACTACCAATCTACTTTGAGTTGCTGAGTATTGTAAGAGTGATTTCATAAGCAAATGTAGAGAAAAGCGGAGAGATGGAGAAAAGGCAAAATGAGCTGGGTTTGGACTGGGTTAGGTTGAACTCAGTATTTCTTCACATGCCCTTGTCAGATCAGCACCTGGATCTTAGTTATCTGTACCCATTACTGCACATTATGTGGATCAAAAGCTTGCCTGGGGAGAGAGCCAGACAGGTAAAACT